AAACAATTGTAAGACCAGAGAATCAGTAAGTGTACAAAATAATTGTAACTGGTTTAGCCTGACTCATTCTGTTACTCTCTGAAGACAAATGCACTCTGAGATCTAGGTAGCTACAATCTTATGATTAACTGAATTCCTACGATCCTGAGAGATATTTTTTCCTCTTTTTCTATCCAGCATATTACCACTCCAACCAAAGGATTTCTGTCCCCAGGATCTCGTAACCCTAAATTTAAGAGCTCAAAGAAGTGCTTAGTAAGAAGTGCTTTGGTTCATGTATCTCTTCTATTTTTTCCTGTACTCAGTTGTGTGATAGTTAATTTAACAATTTTTCTGTATTATTCGAGATCACGGAAATGGCTAAGGAATCACTGCCTTGCCCTACAGAATGCATGTATCCTGCCTTAGTTGGCTGCAAAGCACCGGTTGATGTAATTTTACCTCAGATTACATCAAATATATGGTAAGTGGATTGTTGCTTTTGAAGATGACGTTTTACTAGAAACTGAATTCTTACTGAACCTACAAATCCAAATTTTCTAATGCAACATGTGATGACTTAGAGACATCTTTTCTAGTCTACTCAGCTCCTTTTCCTTCTGCTGATATTACTTATGGGAGGGCTTTAGAATGCCATTCCCTGATGGATAAACTGCAAAAAGGTGTGCTTCTGCAGATAGAATGTCATTTGCATTTTGTTTTTTCCTTCACTTATGTGTATGTGAATCAGCATTGATGTAAGATTTCTTTCTGCTCCACTGTGCTGGGCAGAAAGGACATGAATTCTAGCACAAGAAACCATTTTTCTTTCTCCCCTGCTGCAGCGCCAGAGGCTTGGGGCAGCTCATTCGAGCAAAGAACATTAAGACAGTGGGTGATCTGAGTATCCTGACAGCATCAGAAATCAAAACTCTTCCCATCCGCTCTCCAAAAGTTTCCAATGTTAGAAAAGTTCTTAAAGGATATCATGAGCAACAGGTAAAGCTTAATTTTAGTACCCAAAAAGCCAGTCTTAGCCTACTGAAGTGCTAACATCCATCATGAGGAATAATGTTTCCCCCCCATTAGAAATCAAAGTAACATGGGAATTCAGGGTACAGATAATTTGTTTACAATATTATTAATGGGAATAATGATTGATTTATTACGAGGTTAAAACATGTCCCACCATGTAATCTACCCCTCCACCCCGCTCTCTGAAAATGCATCCCTTGTTCTCTCCTAAAAAATCTGCAGGTAAAATCTCGAGGGTTTGAGGAGATAGCAGTGCTTGAAGATGCAGAAAAGCCCGTAAATAATGTAGAGGATAAATCTCTTTCTGTAGATGAAGAAAAACTTGCAACAGGTACCTATTGCCTGCTTTTTGCCTGGGATCTGGGTGATTCTGCTGTTTGGCTGCTTTCATTCTCTCCTAATGGGAATGCTTGATCTTTTCGGGGGGGGGGGGGGGGGGGGGGGGGGGGGGTTTTAA